AGGAGGTGGGGGGAAGATCAGGGTCACCACTTTTCTTGGGTGGAGCCTGCTTTCCTGGGCTGCTGCCAGGCTGCCTGCAGGGATTCCTGCAGAGCCCCTGAGCTCCATGGAGCCTGTTGCTTTGCTCAATGGCTGTAGGGGCAGCAAACTAAAACTCCTCGAAGGAACTCCAAGTCATTTAAGGCCCATTACGCCGCTAAATTTCCTACAGCGGCTGGAATTAATGCACAGTACACTGCCAAGGTGTGCAAACATCGATACCATTAAAGCGGTGCAAAAGCATTTAGCCCACTTTAAAGTGTCATGCACACATGCCTCTCATTTCATCTACACACGGCTTAAGTGTCTTTCCTTATTGCTGGCCTTTCATCACAATCAGCTAGCAGGTTCCAACAAGCCAAGGGCATGCTGACTCTGAGCCAAAACCAAGACCACCCTGACCTCAATCATTGATCTCCAGTATGTTGATGATGCTGTAGTGTGCGCTCACATGGAAGAAGACCTTCAGGAAATCGGCAACATCTTTACTGAAGCATACAAGAAAATGTGACTGACACTTAACATTTGGAAGATTATGGTCCTCTACCAACAAGCTCCTAATGAACAGTTCCCAGCTCTGGTAATCCAGATTTATGAGAGACTCTGGAGAATACTGAGTATTTCCCATACCTCAGAGGCTAACTCTGACATCAACAAAGAAATCCAACTTTGCCTCAAATGTACAAATGCAGTCCTTGGATGCCTGTAGTAATGGGTGTTTGAAGATCACAACATCAGATCTGAAACCAAGCTCATGGTTTATCAAGCAGTCATGATCCCCACCTTGATGTACAGAGCTGAGACATGGACAATGTACAGGAGATAACTAAAGCTGTTGGAGAAGTACCACCAATACTGCCTGCGGAAGATCCTCTGAATCCAGTGGGAAGACAGATGCATCAACATTAATATTCTCCTGCAAGCAAATACCATGAGTATTGAGGCAATGATCATCTGGTATCAATTTCATTGGGCTAGCTGTGTCATCTGGATATCTGGCTCCAGACTCCCGAATCAAGTTTTATTCTCCTAGCTGGCAAATATGATACATACCTGGCAAATAAGGGAAGATTTATTTTTCAGCAGTCTGTGAAGAAGTGAGAAAAAACTCTTCTGAGTTCACAAAAGGGGCAAAAATACCAACCTAGCTACAGCCAACTACAATGAGTGACTGGCAGCTGCCACGGTTCATCATCAGCTGCTCAGTCAAGATTGGCCCCACGTGTGGCAGAGCCTGTATTTCTGGCCCACCACCAGGGCCGGGTGGGGAAAGAGATGGATGCAGGATGAGTATGGGGAGCTGGGAATGCTGAGACACTGGTAAAGGACCTCTGGGCCACAGAGAGCCAGTGGAACTACCCCTTGGGAGCTCAGAGGAGCACCATTAATGTAAAATGCCACCGTGAAGACCGCAGCAGTGGAGATGTCAGGGAGCACTAACAGGGAGACACGCCATAGGGAAGGGGCCATCTGGAGAACTAGCAGTGCGCTGAGCAGGTTTTGCTTTTAGGTTGCTTTTTCTTTTACTTTACTTGGTCATAGAGCCTGGGAGGCTGGGCTGCAGCCCTGGGAAAAAGGGTAGGATTGAACCCACGCCAGCCTAGTCATGCTGGCAGGGGAACCAACTTCAGGCTTAGTAAGGAGCTGAGTTAATGAGGGCAGGTGGATGGACAGACTTGCCACACCTGGAAAGGCGGCAGGTGCCGCTGAAGCTTTGGTGACAGGTGCCAAAGCACCCAAGGCTGGGAAATGCCCAAGCTGGGGCAAAAGGGGCCAGGAATACCCATATATTTCCTTTTGATTCTTTTTATTTCTTTTGATGGGCTGGATGCTTATGAAAAACCTGCAGCCCTGAGGACTGATTACCTTGGGGCCAGTAGACACAGTCCGTGGTAGGAACAACCCTACTGGCCGAGATTTACCTGATCTCCATTTCACTGTTTGTGTTGTCCTCCATTTCTCCTCCATGGATCATGCCACAATCTACCGATTGGAGGGCCGGTTCAGTCATGGTCTCCATAAGCCAGGCCTGAGACGAACGGAGTCCTGCAGGGGTGAAGAATAGAAGAAGACCATCTATTGAGAACTAAGGGTGCAATAGATGCTGTAACCACAGGCTGGCCCTTGGACAGGGTTTAGGGGAGGTTGGACCCCCATAGAAGAACTGGACCCAGCTCATCCAGGACTTCACACAGCAGAAGTAGACCATCTCCCACCTAAGACAAATTCAACATCAAGATGTGGCAGGCAAGAATTGGGTGATCTCAACTGGGTGCTAGAACTGCATGAACTTGTGTCCCCATGGCCCAGTCTCACAGGACAAAGGGCTATTGGGCTCTGCAGTCCTATCCTATACTGTGCCAACACAGTCAAAGATGGGTGTTTGAAATTGTAGAGATCAGAGGCTTATGCCAGTTCAAGGTGGTTTTTATTCCTTAGGTGATATCACAAAGGCTCTTTCCAGGGTCAAGGAAACATAGGATGGGTATATACTTATAAATAATGATGAACAGCTCTTGGATAGTTTGGCTTCCTTCTATTTTCATAGACTTACTGTAGTTAATTCTCCTCAGTTGCTTATTTTCCTACTCCAGCCATACCTCCTATCCTTTCCCTTGTCAGAGCACTCCCTCCACACCCCCTTTATACATGGCCTTCAGCCTGCCTCTTTTGTCCTTAAAGAGCTCTGATAATGATGCTTACTTTCCTTACAAAATGTT